TAATTTGCCGTAGAGTTCATCAGTTGCAAACAATTCTTGTTTACTAGTTAGTGAGATATCTTCATCACTTTGGTGTATGAGAAATCGGAACATGGTTCCGTTGAGTCATCATCCTGGCCTAGTCCTCAGATAGAGATTTCTCCATCCAAGTGATGAAATTGATAGAGGAGTTGTCCTCATTGTCAGATCTTTCTGATTTGCGCTTCAACATGGTTGCGAAGTTCGCAAGTGGTTGTACGAGTATCGTCGATCTCGTTTTTTCCGTCATTGTCGAGGAGAGGAAGAATGGGTTTGTCACGCAACTGTTTCTCGAAGTTGCGGAACGATGCTTTCCTTGAGCCATCTTCATGGTGAAGGATAGGTTGAGGGTAGCTGAAAGCTATTGTGTTTGTTAAAAAATGCACTACGCTAAAAAGCTAGTGTAAAGATCTTTCGAGTGTTTTGAGTTTGAGAGAATGAAAGTTATGAGAGAGATTAGAAAGCTAGAAAACTAATCAACGAGAGAGATCACAATCAAGGATCGTAGATCTGGCTTCCGCGGGAGATTAAAGTGTGATAAGTAGTTTGTGGTAGTAATCCTACGTTCTCCACGATCCTAAAACGGAACGCGTGGAAGGTTTGTCTAGCCTGGATCTAGTAGCGTGGAAGTACTCCACGCTGGCTAAATATCTAGAGCGATGTTTCATCATCAACCTAGTATGACTAGCGCGGTCATTGAGAACCCTGTCTCAAATGACTATTCACGAGAGACTCGGTCATGAGTTGAGTCGAACTCAAACCCTATCTAGGATCGAGTCGCGAATAAGGCTAAGAGCCGTGTATTGCACACTGTTAATATATTTAATAACAGTGAAACTGGCAACAACCAGTAACTGGCAGTAGCCAATCTAGTTCTGGATGATCCTGATGAGGATCATGTGAGGTCAATGGCCAATTCGGTCAATCTTCTACAAGTTGAAGAAAGGGAGCAAAAACGAAGGATGTGGCAGCAGCTTTATATTCTATCGGTGGTCATTCTGTTCATTGTGGCAGCCATTGTTATTGGCACAGTCGTTGGACAACTTACAGAACAGGGAGCCAGATGTTGTTGTCTTGCAGTCAACAGAGACACCAACTGTTTATGGCTCCATAGAGCCTTCCAAATCACCATCATCAGCCCCCATATGGGCTCGGGACTTGCTGTTAGATAATCTACCGATTCAAACATTGGCTAGGATCAACAATGGCAGTAAAACTCCTCAGTGGAGAGCATGGAATTGGCTTGTGAATCATCAAAATATCACATTGCTACCAAGATGGAGAAATGATCGGTTGTTTGCTCTTGCCACATTCTTCTACGCATTTGGGGGAGAAAAGTGGAATCCTCTCATAAAGGGGTATGGGTGGATGGATGACACCATTGAAGAGTGCTATTGGTTCTCCAGTGGATTTGGATACTTCTATGAAGGAAATTGTACGAATATCGTGGGAAGCTTCTCTGCAACACCTATGGCAAATTTACCTCTCTTTGGTTGTCAGGCCTCCAGCTTTCTGGTTTGGCGCCTTCTATTCCACCAGAGATCACCATGCTGAGTTCATTGTCCCACATTCAGTTTGGTATCAATGAGATTGCAACAACAATTTCTTCTCTAATTCCATCAGAACTGTATGAGATGACTGCATTGACTGGTTTGCTCTTTCTCAATGAACAATTGACTGGCCAACTCCCAAGTGAGCTTGGACAACTTACTGCTTTGTATTAGTTGTCTCTGTATGGAAACCAGTTATCAGGCCAGATTCCTTCAGAGCTTGGGGGGCTAACTGGCTTAAGTGACTTGTCTTTGAGTGTGAATGCATTTTCCAGTCAATTGCCATCAGAGCTTGGACAGCAAACCGCATTGGAATCGTTATTTTTGAATGAAAATGCGCTAAGTGGCCAGATCCCCTCTGAAATTGGACAAATGACCAATATAAGACTTTTCAGTTTGGACGGAAACCACTTGACCAGAGCTGTGCCATCAGAGCTTGGACAACTCACCGCCTTGGATTGGTTGCATTCGAGTAAAAATCGAATCACTGGCCAGATTCCCTCTGAGTTTGGTCAGCTGATTAGTTTGACATTTTTGAAATTGGATGAAAATCAGTTGACCGGACCTCTGCCATCTGGACGATCCGGCAATTGGGATTTGTGACGTCAGTTTCACGACTGAATAGAACTGTCGTCAAACGTGCTTTACTGTGATTAGGCAACAGTTTAGGCAACCGTTGAAAAATAGGCGACCGTTTAGGCAACAGCTAGGATTTAGGCAACCGTTACTAGGATTTAACGGGTTGTTTCTCGAAGAATTTGGCAACAGTTTAGGCAATTGCCTAAAAATAGGCGACTATTTTGGCGATCGCCTAGATTTAAGCGACTGACGGTCACCTAATTCCACATGCAACCATTCAGTCGTGATTCATAATTAGCTTCTGCACTAATTGCCGGATTCATAATTAGCTTCCGCACTAATTGCCGGATCGTCCCGAGTTTGGCCTTTTGGAAAATTTGGGTTCCTTGAATCTAACAGGCAATGTTGGCTTGTCTGGCACAATTGCAGAGGAGCTATGCTTCTTGCAGACTGTGTCTTGTACATGTATGTATGGGCCCGAATCTTGGCCTGGGCCCTGCCATCTTGGGTTTGGCTGTACCTCTGTTTTGTGTGGCTGCGATTGTGCCTGTTCCAATTAATTCTTCTTCGACAAGGAGCGAGGGGGGCTAAGCTAGGCAGAGCAGTGGCTGCGGTGGGGGGGCGTACTGGGAGCGGGAGCAGGGCAAAAAGGGGGGCCGGGGAAGGGAGGTGCATGGAGGAAAGAGAGGAAGTATAGGGGAAGTCGAGAGGGGGAAGGGGGGCAAGATTGGAGGAAGAGTGCAAGTGCACCATCGGCATCCCAGAGAGAACGGTGGTAGCTCATTGTGCCAGCAGGGACACGAGAGCCGCGCATGCAGAGGTGGCAGGCCCAAAGAATATCTAGGCTGAGCCAAGCATTAACGTAGCCACGTACGTGCTGAATGCTGAATGATCCAACATGTCGGGAAGTAGCAGCCGAATAAAATTAGGGTAGTCCTTTTTTAAAATTTTGGGCCGCTGGCTGATTCTTGGGTATTATATACACAAGCTGTTCCACGGTTACAAACAAGATGCTTCGGTATAGTTGGCTACGGTATGCTGCTGAGTACCTATAATCAAGCCAACCACATTGAAGACAAAAACTAGAATGATCAATGGTTTATTTGAGTTAGTTACATCCCCACGCTCACAACTCCTTGTAGGCATAGTGCCCCCTTAGCAAGTTGTCATGGGACAACAACACTCGAAACCGCATCTATTGCCTTGTCCCCATGTCAACTTGTGGGGAACAAATCTGGCTATAACTTGACAGCCTAACAGTTTAAGAATAGAGAGCCAATGGAGACACACTTTTTATGAAAATTGTGAAGAGGCGCACTTTGGTAAAACGGGGACAACGAATCTTCACCGGAAAGCTAATACCCGGGCGTCGTCCTCAAGCACACCTTGTTTGAATCCGTTATTAGATGTGCACTTCGGGACAATGAATCTTCACTGGAAGGCTTCCAAAACCCAAGGTAACCTACCCGCTGACAAAATAAAGGATGGCAGTTTCAGTGGTGTTGCCTACCAGCCTTGCAAGGATGGATCCTCCCTTTTCCAGCTCTCCGTATCACTTCGAGTTGCTACGGTAACTCGTGAAGGTAACTCGTGCCCTGCCCCGGTCCATGCATGCAGACAATGGCTCGATCTGGTCGCGTCCTTTGACCTTTGACTCGATGATGTAAATCGCTTGAAACTGTGAGCACAAACGGTTTACTGAATTGGGGTATACTTCAAATAAGCCTTCATGAAAGGCACGAACCAATACCTTAACGAGGGGGTTCTGAAGAAGTTCTGCATTGATCATTCAACAACTTTAAAACTTCAAGAACTTCCTCCTCTTCCACAACGGATACGACTGCGACAATGGCTACTGATACTACATGTACAGTACCACTTCTGAATCAATGAGCGAATTTAAGAATGGCTACAACACATCTACTCTTCAGTCCTTGAACCTACCACAGCGGAAGTGCATGACGGTACTATTGCATTTTGCCAAGCCCATGTGGAACCGGACACTAGCTACAGCTTTCGCTTGATTGGTTTAGCTTGGTCTCACTGCATTTGCTTTCCGGAGAGCAGTGGAAGGAAGAGATGTTCTCTCGCCACCTTGCTTTGGACATCAAACACACATCATGTCGAAGGAAGGTGTCCATAAATTGAGGGAGCAGCCATTGTCTCCAGGGCTGGCCGAATGGAGGCTTTACACAAGTCCATTGCACACTGGCTGAAATGAGCAAACGGAAGGTCTTCTACGCAGTGCATGCCGACACACTCTTGCGATATAGACGACGTTAACAAGCCTCTGGCAGAAAAAAGTCTACACGAAAAAGAAGTCGCAGGAGGCGCTCGAGACAATGCTAGCCAGAATCTTGGTGGTTAAGGTGACTATATAGTGTTATAATGTTCAAAGCGTTCCATCCGTAGTCAGGTACAATTCGTGCTAAGAGAAAACAAGAGAGGAGCCGACCATGGCTACACGTACGAACGGCAACAAGTCAAAGAACTCATTTTCGGCCAATTTTGGCTGCTGTTTCAGAGCTAACTAGCAAACACTGCTGTCGCCTCTCTAAGACATGTCTCCTACACTAACAGTGGGTGGTGCAGTGCACCTCTACTCTATTATGTCAATCAATCTAAAATCCAATCATCGTACCGGTACCGCTATTTGAGAGTGCTTTTGAGCCTCGTCCATAGAAAATCTACCCCGTGACATGTCGGTGGTACTGATTACTGATGTAAAAACACAAGAAAATGGCGCGATGATCGGACATGCAGTTATGGGGGGTTTAGAGTAGGGAAATTATCTACGGAAGCCAGCCGGGGCCAGGGTTTTATTTACATGTAAAGCAAAGAACAAAATCGGACATGCACGATGGGCAGGGAGTAAAAGAACGGCACGAGCTCCCTCTTTTATTCGCGATCTTCGAAAAGCAACTTCCTTTTTCCTCTTCCTCGAGATCTGCATGGCGTCCATCCTCCCATACGGTAGTAACCTCTTCGGATCCCATTATTTTTAGAAAGATGAAAGAAGACAACTCTTACGCCAATGAACATCATGGTGATGCTCAAGGTGGTAACTCTACTGGAGACGTTGATCAGCAACCAGACCAGCTTGACTCGGCAGTAATGGATAGCCTCATCAAGCGAGCAGAGGCGGAAGCCGCGCAGCAGTACCATGACGAAGCACAGCAGTACAGAGATAAAGAATCTAATGCCAAAAAAGCTCAAGTAGAAGACAAGAAGCAAGTTTCCACGAAAAGGGAGACCACGAGTACACCAAGCCATGGAAAAGGCAACCAAAAAGCTCAACAACGGCAAGTAAAACAATATGCTACAAGTGAAATCAGGCAAGGAGGAGGAGGAGAAGCATCTGAAGAAATTAGGAAGGTTGTGGCAGAACAAGCTGGTCTGACAATGGCGGAACATCTACAAGAAGAAGAAGAAGACATCAAGAAGGCATACAAGACCACTCCCAATCAAAACCCCATACATAAGGCACCAGAAATCAATGAACCTGTCCAAATGAGATTTCTGGCAAAAAAATCAAAGGAGGCATACGAAACCACACCCAATCAACACCTCTTGCAGATGGCAACAGAAATCAATGAAAGTGCCACCATGGAAAAGCTGGCAAAGAACTCAGAGGGGACAACCAGGAGAGAACCAGTAGCAACAGGAAATACCCACCAACAAGGAGAAACAATCCCGCAAACTACAATGTCACAGACAAGCCAGCTGTCACCCCGACCAGGAGCATACATGGGAGCTCCAGGGGAAGCCTTGCTGCGTGCAAACACTCTCCGATTCTCCCTTGTAGGAGCCAGTGGAACCACTGGTCAGGGTGATTTGGTGCAGGTGGATGATCCAGTTGATCCCTCCGTTGTTGAAGAACCAAACCCTGCATTGGCCAGCATCAACCATGAAACTAGGGACAACCAGCAACTGGCAGTGGCCAATCCAGTCCTGGATGATCCTGATGAGGAGCAAATGAGGCCACTGGCCAATCCGGTCGATCTTCAACAAGTTGCTGAGAGAGAGCAGAAACGAACGAGACTGAGGCAGGTATATATTTTATATGTGGTGATACTGATCATTGTGGCAGCCATTGTTGTTGGCACAGTTGTTGGAACACAACGGAACGAGGAGCCAGACATTGTTGTTATTCGGTCCACCGAGACACCAACCATTTATGGTTCCATGGAGCCTTCCGCAGCACCATCATCAGCCCCCACAGGCGTTCTGGAGTTGCTCTTGGATAATCTACCGATTCAAACATTGGCTAGGATCAACAATGGCAGTGAAACTCCTCAGTGGAGAGCTTGGCAATGGCTTGTGAATCATCAAAACATCACATTTCTTCCAGAATGGAGAAAGGAGCAGTTGTTTGCTCTAGCTACATTCTACTATGCCTTTGAGGGAGAAAATTGGAATCCTCTCATAAAGGGGCATGGGTGGATGGATGACACAGTTGAAGAGTGCAACTGGTTCTCCAGTGGATTTGGATATTTCGATGGCGAAGGAAAATTCATCGAAGATGCTTTGCAGTCACCATGCAACAGTCATGGTAAATTCACTGCTCTTTGGTTGAACGAACTCCAGCTTTCTGGATTGACACCTTCTTTTCCAGCAGAGATCACCATGTTGACTTCCTTGTCCCACCTTGAGTTCGTTTATAATGATATTGAGACATCAATTTCATCTCTCTTCCCAGCAGAATTGTATGAAATGACTGCATTGACTGGTTTGCTCTTTCTCAATGAACAAGTGACTGGCCAACTCCCAAGCGAGCTTGGAGAGCTTACTGCTTTGGAGCATTTGTGGTTCTTTCGAACTCAGTTGACTGGTCCCCTTCCATCAGAGCTCGGAAGACTCTCTAATGTGTCACACTTTTGGTTCTCCGAAAATCAGTTGACCGGGCCTGTGCCATCAGAGCTTGGACAACTCACCAACTTGGATTGGTTGCATTTGAGTAAAAATCGAATCACTGGCCAGATTCCCTCTGAGTTTGGTCAGCTGATTAGTTTGACAATTTTGGGATTGGATGAAAACCAGCTGACCGGACCTGTGCCATCCGAGTTTGGCCTTTTGACAAATTTGGTTTATCTGGATCTAACCGGCAACCTTGGCTTGTCTGGCACAATCCCAGAGGAGCTATGCTTCTTGCAGAATGTGTCTTGTATGTATGGGCCCGTTTGGATCGCTCAGCCCTGTTATCTTGGGTTTGACTGTACCTCTGTCTTGTGTGGATGTGATTGTGCCTGTTCCAATTAATTCTTCTTGGACAGAAGGAGAAATGTCTACATAAGACTGTGTGCTGAATGCTAGTTGTAGTTGAATAGACTGAGTGGTTCTATCTATATACCGTATAGTCCTTGGCCCGCCGGTAAGGTTTAGATAGTGGGCCGCATGGTGATCCGCTGGCTGATGCTGGGTCCCAAGCTGCTGTCGAGATCCATGTATCCGTACTTGCTGCGCAAAGGAATAGAGTGCAAACAAAAACTAGAATGATTTATACTTTGCCTAGCTATCACGGAAAGTCGTCTCTTTGGTAAAGGCACCGAACATGCCTCGAACGTATGGCCCTCATGATCGAATCTACGAACCTTCACGACTCCTACCTTTCCTACTGTTTCAATGAACTGTTGCTTTTTAATAAATTCTTCCAACGATCATGCGCTTATTGCTCGACGGCCGTCGCATCCTCCTTTTTCACATCGGTCTTGCTGGGGATGCACAAGGTCGCCTTTCTCCATCCATGGTTGGTGAATACAAATTCCAAACAGAGTTCCTTCTTTTCCGTGCTGTTGTTGTTGTTGTCGTCAGGAGGAGGCATTGTAACTTGGAGCGTGATATCCAATAGAAAATTATTCTTGCCTCCGAATTCGACCGCGTCTCCTTGAAGGAGTTGTGCGGCCATTTCGTCTTTGGGACCTTGTTCGACGGTACCGGGAAAACTATCTGCGAGGAACACGACCGAAACGGCGTGATCGCAATGCGCCAACAATCGCACATGTGTATTGTTGTGGTTGTTGTT